GGGGGGGGGGGGGGTAGATCGAGCGAGGGGGACCGGGGTTGACATCAATAAACTTCCCTGGTCATTGTAGCGTCTAGCCGTATATCCTATGTAGGACTCTGGTGTTCTCTGCAAAGCCACCAAAGAAAGATGTGGATTTCGCCTGCTGAAGAGAAAAAAGAAAAACGTGTTTTTCGGATATCTGTGGGCTTGAAAAGGTGGAAAAAAACACGGCCCGAAAGGGTTTGCCACACTGCTGTTGGGTTGGGTGTGGTCACATCGTGGAGGCAAGAAGTCACAAAGGAACTCGTGGGTTGCTAGCATGGTAGCAAGACCTCGAATCCAACAAGCCTTCGCGTTTCCGTACCTTGGTACAACCCCTTCGGCTGGTGTTGGTCCCCACCCCTCCCCCACCCGCTGTTTGAGTCTTGTCGAACTCTAGCTGTGCATTCCCAGTGGTGTGTGCGTTTGCATCGAACGCAACCCAGCACCTGACACACTCTTGTGCCTCGTTCGAGTTGGATCTCCGGCTACCAATAGGCTTGCATTTCTGTGTCCGTCAATAACATGCATAGCTCGGCGTTACAGGGCCACGCTGCAGGAACCTACTGCACATCGCTACTATCCCATTTTTCACCCGAAAACGGGAAACGATCACGTGGAAAGTAATGTCCATATTTTGTCTCCCCCTTTGTTTTTTTTCCAATTTTGGTTTTCTTTCCGTGGGCGTTTTCAGGTACGACCGAGGAGAAGAGGTGTTCGAAAACCAGGGAGGTGGTGGCGGGGGGCAACGCAGAGGCGGTCAGCAGTTCCACTTCAACCACGGGGGCGGGAAGCAACACTTCCAGCGCACGCACGTCCGTTTCGGCTGAGGATGTGGCGCGTGGTGATGATGTCTTGTCGCTGTTGGTGGCAGCAGCACCAAGTTGCAAGTACTACTAGTTTTCCTTGGTCCCTCCGCAATAGCGAACGCCGATTTGAAGCGATGAACTGTTGGGTGTTTTTGTCGTGACGTGCCCCCACCCCGTACGTACCGTTGCTGGATGTTCTTTATCGGCGTGCTGCGGGAAGTCGCGGACAGCAGAGGGCGTTGGAAGAGGGTCTTGTACGTATGTGTGAAATAGCATTAGGAGACAGAAGAACAGGCATGCTGGTAGAGGACCGATCGCACCCGTAACGTAACGGTCCCAGTTTAGTGTCGTCGGAAATACCTCAGGAGTGTTAAGTCAATATGACGCATTAAAAAAGAGAGAGACCACTGGCCTCTTCGTTAACTTTTTTTCAACTGTGCATGGCATGGTCGGTGGGCGTAGTCTTGAGGGGGGTGAGGCTTGTGCGGCATCACGCTTGTAATCTTGCCGGATGACGACAATAGAGCATTGTCCTTCGGCCTGATGTTGGCAGAGCTACAAGTCACATCCCCGCAGAATGTGAGGGAGTTGGTGTAGTTTCCCGAAAAACACAGCTCAAACTTCGGTGATGTGTCCAGGAAAGGAAGGAGAATCGTCCGTAGGTACCACACGCGACCGGCGGCAGTATCTCCCGAGACTGGTGAAATGAAGATTTTCTGGTTGCAGTGATGGTCCTCGCAACTCTGACATGCGTACTGTAGAAAAATGCCGATCTATGTAGCTGCAGCTGTAAGGCTCAACAAAGCAAGCACAACCGCCTGCCGGAGGGAAAAGCGGGCTACGAATGCAGGTACATGTAGTCATCCACAAAATTACGAGCTTCCGTTTCCCCACACCGAATGTCCGGGACAAGTTGTCCAACAGCGGGAGGAACACGAACTCTTCGAAACGTGTTTGCTCTAGGAGCAAAAGAAGAGAGCACAGCTGTCCACATCTTGCCAGGAAACCAATGGAATGCTGGGCAACATACGGAAGCATTAACAGAGAGAAGAAAACAATCCCCAGAATCACAGAGGCCGACCAAGCTGTGGGGCTGAACGAGCACATTCGTGTCGCGTGGGTATAGCAGCGGGGTGCGGGCTTGGCCAGAGCTGGAATACGTACGTTGAGCTTGAGGAACGCCTAGAAAACACCGAGCGCACAGCTACGTTGCAGTTTTTTCAAGAAAGGAGTAGCTTCTGCCTGCGCGTCACGAGATGCTTCATCATTGGCCATCCAGACCACGCTGCCGCACGTGGATGCTGATTGATGCCGGGAATACATTTTTGGAAGAGCGCGCATGGACAGGGGGGGGGTAGCACGGACAGGGAAACACCAAGGTATCAGCCTGCTGACAGACGGTACTAAAACTCGTTCGACCACCAGGCAAGGTGCTGCCGTCAAGCCTATGGCACGCAGACAGCGAGTGAATTCAGTTCACCCGTCAAACAAACGAATCACGGTTACAAATATCCTAGGAACAAGACAGTAGGATTTCGACGCCGACGACGCAAGCAAGACAAATTGTTGTGGAGATTCGCGACATTCGATCGATTTCCCTAGCCCTCAATTACAAAGAGTTGGGCGAGAAGACAGATGAGAGGCCTTCTACTAGTACGATCCAGAAAGCGTAATGCGAGCGGGTGAAGACCTTCCTACACAGCCACCTCAAACCGCGCGAGTAATTGGTATGGATTTGTGTGCGGTATTCCTGCCGTCACAACTTGCCGCGGCAAACATCAGATAGATTCTAGGGTACACCTCGGTACTAGTTTTTTAGGCGGATCCAGGCGGGGCGGTACTGCAAAGTGGCGGTATTTTTTTGGCGGTTGGCGGTATTTCGTTTTCCGGCGGTACCGCCTTTGGCGGTTCCCGGTACCACCCGAATGTGGCGGTACTTTTTTGGCGGTACTGCAAAGTGGCGGTATTTTTTTGGCGGTTCCCGGTACTTCGTTTTTT